GAAATAAACTCTAAACAAGATGCAACCCTGTTTTAAATTAAACAATTTAAACCTTGAAATGTTCGAACTTGGTTTCAAACTTAAGTAATTTTAGTGTTCTTTTACATTACACAATAATTTAGCAGACTAAAGACGAGCTTCTTCATTTTCATTTTCTGATCGGCTGACAATCTTCATCAGTTTTTGTCGTTTGTGCAGCGGCTGCGGTTCTACAGGAATGTAGCAAATTTATGTTGTAATGATAATCAAACAAAACTCTTGACTTTAAATAAGTAAACAGATATAAACAGTTACCTATTTAAGCATCAAGGTGGGAAAATATAAACGTAGGACAACATCGGTTAACAACATCTATGCTACATTGAGATTCGATCTCGGGTCTGTTGAAGCTCCTCGAAGCTCGTGTCGTTGCGTTGATCACTGAGCTATCGTCTGTACGCTGTTAAAGTTGTAAAGCCTCGTTCATGTAGCCTAAATGTTGATTCATTTATTCAATTACATTTCAGTAGCCTAATTTCAGTATTGTGATTATGAATTATTTTAACTACGTTTCACTTGTTGAATTCTTCTGCTACCAGCTTTCAAACGCTCTGAATCAGCGCGGTGCGGCAGCAGATTACGCATTAGAGAGAATAAACCGGAATAAACGAACACTTTTCAGAGTCTATGATTGTAGCGCCTCTTAGCGGTAAAAGGCAGCAAATACACCACACATTTTACCGCCGCGGTGGAACGGCTGATGTGGGCGTTGTCATGGCTTGCCTCGACATTTGCGTTTGAATAGCGCGCGTCGTCCGTGGGCGTGTCAGATTAACGCGTAATGAAGTGTAATGAGCTGGGGGAAAAAATACTGACAGCACTCTCTTTTCATACAGATTGCATAAACTGAGAATATTTGTTTTTTATATAAATTACTTCATTTAAAAGAAGAGAATTCAAGCTTCATAAAGAAAAACCTCTCGTGCCTGTGTGACAAGTAATCGCGGAGTTACAGTTAATCTTAGGACGCGTTTCAGAATGGACTTCACTGACAGAGAGAACGCAAAACTCGCATCATGTTTGTTTTTCTTTATTTGGTGAAAAGCACAACACTTTGTTTTTATTGTGAGTATCCACAAAAAAAATAGAAACTTAACAGGATCTAATGATGTACAACACTTATATGTAAGATCAAAATTAACAGAGTAATTTGAGTCTCTTTTGCACTGATAAGGAAAAAAGTGAGCTGGTATCGCCGGCGAGACCGCCGACCCCAGAGAGTATATTAAGTTTTTTTTTTTTAAATAAACATGATTGGGTAGACATATAGGTCTACGTAACGATTGTTTTTTTTAATCAACATAATTTTTTTTAAGAAAGTGAACAACTGATCTGTTAAGCATTAAATAAAAAGTAAAAAATTACAAAATGACATAAATGAAAGTTGTGAATCAATATATGTTTATTTACAACATGAACATATATCAACCACAGTGGGAGAACTGCTTTGCATAACTCCATAATTTATATAGCCAAGAAAAAGTTCAGAACAGAAATAACCATAAGTGTAAAAACAAAATATGGTTTGAGTGCTGGGAAAATGTTTAAGAAGCGATTTACTAGCCCTGGTTAACGGTATATGGGTGACTCTCCTGAAACATGCCAAGAACAGAACATATTTTATCCAGAAATAAAAAGTAAATTATGTTTGGTTTACAAAAAAAACACACAAAAAAACGTTTTTCCCACATGGTTCTCATGGCAATTCAAATATATATATATATATATATATATATATATATATATATATATATATATATATATATATATATATATATATATATATATATATGTATTATATATATATATATATATTTTTTTTTTTTTTTTTTTTTTTTTTTTTTACAGTAGTGTCCAAAAGTCTAGCCTAGGAAAATTGATATCTTCAAAAATTATTAAAAATGTGTAGCTGTACTTGGAGTTGATTGTTTTATTTGTGATAATAACGCAATGAAACATGACAAATTGTGCCAACATAATTTTTGGCCAGAAATTATGAACACATGCCAAAATGAGAGAGCCAATTAAATATTAATAATGGGTTATGTTTGATTTTCACTGTCAGCTTTTTGTGTTTCTATGCATTTTCTTACGTAGTACAAATAAAGCCGCTGTAGTTTGCCTTTTTGCAAAATAATTGTTTGCCTAATAATAAATACCTTAACCAAGTTTATTGTTTTTGTTTGTTTAAAAATATTTCATATTTTGATGGTTTCATTAAACTTGTAGGGTCATTAAAAACAAATTTCCCCTCCAGACATCACTTTTGCACACTACTGTATATATAACAGTATGACATTATAATGGTTATCCATTTACATTTAAAATAACTATTTAAATTTAGTGTATCCTGATGTAAATCATGTAAACTAATTAAAAAAATGGTTTAGTGCAACTTACAATACACCTGTGCAATTTAACTATGCATTACATAATGGAATGGAAATATAATACATATCCAAAGGATACTCTTGTGAACACTATGAAGTACAATATGTGTGTAATAGTTAGTTTGTGTGCACATTATGCATTTTGTTTCAATTGGGAAAAATAAGTCACAATATAAGTTAATGATTCTAAAAATGGGTTAAAATAAGTTTTCTATATTTCCAAAATAATGGATATGGGGGCGAAACGAAACCTGGACATATTTTAGTGAGATTCACCCATATCTTTTCTCGCGTTTTTGTGATATTTACACCTAATTTAAAAACACTAGCATAATTTACATAAATAAACAGCTGAGAAATATGTACTAAACCCTTTTAAGTCCAATTGCACCGAATTTTGGTTGCAGTTCCACCAGAGTTCCACTGGGGGCGATCGCCCATGAGTGCAAAATGAATGGGAGTCTATGGAGCTAGACGGCTAAATGTGTCTCTTTCACCCGATTGCCGTTGAGAAATCTCAGATTTGATTGTAGGTTTTGCAAGTTCAACATGGGTTATAGGTCGAAAGTTGAATGAACGAGTACTTATGTCCTTTCGATTTCATACAGGTTGAGTTGTTGTTGCCCATAACACGCTAGCATTCTGCTAATGAACGCTGGTTGGTCAGTGAAGGACTGATTACGGCCAGAGACACCGCTTGATGGCATCGTGGCATCCGGACCAGAATGTTAAGAATTTTAGTTTTACAAAAACCCTTCTAGCACGTGTGTTTACCTGTGTCCGCTGTCTCGAGAGAACAGAAAGTGCAGAAATTGCCGTTAAGCAGTATCTCTGGTCGTACGATGTGTATGACGTCATTGACATTTTAACAGACTTTTTAAAGCAAATAAGTGACTTTAAAAAATCTAACACCCAGCAATGTGTAATTTCTTTGCATCTCGTTTTGAATACAACATTCAAATTACTAGACAAAAAATTATATCCTGAGGAAAGTGGATTTTGAGGGGTATAGCGCCATAGACCTCCATTCATTCTGCACTCGTCCTGTGAGCGCCCTCATGTGGAGCCAGAGTGGAACTGCAACCAGTTCAGGAGCCGATGTTTACTGAGAGTGGACGTTCTCCCCTTATAGAGAGCCTAAGCCCCTCCCCTTCCGGTCATCACCATGGGACCTTATTTCGGAAAAATATTGTATGGTAGTCAATGGCGAGAGACAAAAAATTTTTTGATCTCGTCTGAATTGTGCCCTGAATTACACATATGATGTTTGTCAATTTAAAAGATACATTTTGAAGTCAAGAAAGTCGCAGTTTGATGTAAAATGTTGAGGTGTAAGACTGTGAAAATACGTAAAGACTACAAACCCCAAAGGCGCACATTTCCTCTCAATGAATGAAGCTAACTCTACTGAAGCTAACGTCTGTCATCGTTTCTATAGTCTTGCGTTATAATCATAACGTTACGCCGTCATCGAGTGTTTTGTACCAGACTGCACACACACGAGCAGCGGATCTCGCTCGTTGTTTCGCTTCCCGGGAGATGTAGTTCATCAAGCGATTTTCACATAAAACTAAATGTTATGACAAACTGCGACATTCTTGACGTTCATAAGTATCTTTTAAACTGACAAACATCATATGTGTAATTCAGGGCACAGTTCAGACGGAATAAAAAGATAAGTCGTCTCTCGCCATTGACTACCATACATATTTTTTACGAAATAAGGTCCGGAAGCGGAGGGGCGGGGCTTAGGCCATTCTCTGCTAGTACTAATGGAGAAAAAAAAATGCAAAAGCGTGTGATCTGATTTGTGCTGATTTCACATGATAGCTGACGTAGACAATCATTGGTCGGTGTTTGTAACGTCTTCTGCGTTGTTGCGATGGATTGCTGTATTCTGTTGTTTGGCGAACTCTGCGTAGTATCCCTGTTTGGCCAGCAGGTCCGGATGGTTTCCCTCCTCGACCACTTCTCCTTCTCGGAGGAAGACGATGTGATCTGCGTTCTCCACGCCGCTCAGTCTGTGTGTGATGAGCAGAACCGTGCAGCTCTTCAGGTCCTTCCTCAGAGCGCTGTACACCTGAGACACCAAGAGGACGAGGAAAATCAGACACCGATCAATCCCAATCTCTATTCATTTATAAAGCACAATAAAAACAATGGTGACTATTACAGAAGCCCTGAACCGCAAAGTAAAAAAAAAAATAATAATAATAATAATCTAAAATTACGAGAATAAAGTATAAAACATTTCGAGATTAAAGTCGAAACATTTCGAGATTAAAGTCGAAACATTTCGAGATTAAAGTCGAAACATTTCGAGATTAAAGTCGAAACATTTCGAGATTAAAGTCGAAACATTTCGAGATTAAAGTCGAAACATTTCGAGATTACAGTCGAAACATTACGAGATTAAAGTCGAAACATTACGAGATTACAGTCGAAACATTACGAGATTACAGTCGAAACATTACGAGATTAAAGTCGAAACATTACGAGATTACAGTCGAAACATTTCGAGATTAAAGTCAAACATTTCGAGATTAAAGTCGAAACATTACGAGATTAAAGTCGAAACATTACGAGATTAAAGTCGAAACATTACGAGATTACGAGATTAAAGTCGAAACATTACGAGATTAAAGTCGAAACATTTTGAGATTAAAGTCGAAACATTACGAGATTAAAGTCGAAACATTACGAGATTAAAGTCAAACATTTCGAGATTAAAGTCAAACATTTCGAGATTAAAGTCGAAACATTACGAGATTAAAGTCAAACATTTCGAGATTAAAGTCAAGCATTTCGAGATTAAAGTCAAACATTACGAGATTAAAGTCGAAACATTACGAGATTAAAGTCGAGACATTACGAGATTAAAGTCGAAACATTTCGAGATTAAAGTCGAAACATTTGGAGATTAAAGTCGAAACATTACGAGATTAAAGTCGAGACATTACGAGATTAAAGTCGAAACATTACGAGATTAAAGTCGAAACATTTCGAGATTAAAGTCGAAACATTACGAGATTAAAGTCGAGACATTACGAGATTAAAGTCGAGACATTACGAGATTAAAGTAGAGACATTACGAGATTAAAGTCGAAACATTACGAGATTAAAGTCGAAACATTACGAGATTACAGTCGAAACATTACGAGATTACAGTCGAAACATTACGAGATTACAGTCGAAACATTACGAGATTAAAGTCGAAACATTACGAGATTACAGTCGAAATATTTCGAGATTACAGTCGAAACATTACGAGATTAAAGTCGAAACATTTCGAGATTAAAGTCGAAACATTTCGAGATTACAGTCGAAACATTTGGAGATTAAAGTCGAAACATTACGAGATTAAAGTCGAAACATTACGAGATTAAAGTCGAAACATTTCGAGATTAAAGTCGAAACATTACGAGATTAAAGTCGAAACATTACGAGATTAAAGTCGAAACATTACGAGATTAAAGTCGAAACATTTCGAGATTAAAGTCGAAACATTTCGAGATTAAAGTCGAAACATTACGAGATTAAAGTCGAAACATTACGAGATTAAAGTCGAAACATTACGAGATTACAGTCGAAACATTACGAGATTAAAGTCGAAACATTTCGAGATTAAAGTCGAAACATTTCGAGATTACAGTCGAAACATTTGGAGATTAAAGTCGAAACATTACGAGATTAAAGTCGAAACATTACGAGATTAAAGTCGAAACATTTCGAGATTAAAGTCGAAACATTACGAGATTAAAGTCGAAACATTACGAGATTAAAGTCGAAAAATTACGAGATTACAGTCGAAACATTTCGAGATTACAGTCGAAACATTACGAGATTAAAGTCGAAACATTTCGAGATTAAAGTCGAAACATTTCGAGATTACAGTCGAAACATTTGGAGATTAAAGTCGAAACATTACGAGATTAAAGTCGAAACATTACGAGATTAAAGTCGAAACATTTCGAGATTAAAGTCGAATCATTTGGAGATTAAAGTCGAAACATTACGAGATTAAAGTCGAAACATTACGAGATTAAAGTCGAAACATTACGAGATTAAAGTCGAAACATTACGAGATTAAAGTCGAAACATTACGAGATTAAAGTCGAAACATTACGAGATTAAAGTCGAAACATTACGAGATTAAAGTTGAAACATTACGAGATTAAAGTCGAAACATTACGAGATTAAAGTCGAAACATTTCGAGATTAAAGTAGAAACATTACGAGATTAAAGACGAAACATTACGAGATTAAAGTCGAAACAATACGAGATTAAAGTCGAAACATTACGAGATTAAAGTCGAAACATTTGGAGATTAAAGTCGAAACATTTAGAGATTAAAGTAGAAACATTACGAGATTAAAGTCGAAACATTACGAGATTAAAGTCGAAACATTTCGAGATTACAGTCGAAACATTACGAGATTAAAGTAGAAACATTACGAGATTAAAGTCGAAACATTACGAGATTAAAGTCGAAACATTACGAGATTAAAGTCGAAACATTTGGAGATTAAAGTCGAAACATTACGAGATTAAAGTCGAAACATTACGAGATTACAGTCGAAACATTACGAGATTAAAGTCGAAACATTTGGAGATTAAAGTCGAAACATTACGAGATTAAAGTCGAAACATTACGAGATTAAAGTCGAAACATTACGAGATTAAAGTCGAAACATTACGAGATTAATGTCGAAACATTACGAGATTAAAGTCGAAACATTACGAGATTAAAGTCGAAACATTTCGAGATTAAAGTCGAAACATTTCGAGATTAAAGTCGAAACATTACGAGATTAAAGTCGAAACATTTCGAGATTAAAGTCGAAACATTTCGAGATTAAAGTCGAAACATTTCGAGATTAAAGTCGAAACATTTCGAGATTAAAGTCGAAACATTACGAGATTAAAGTCGAAACATTTCGAGAATACACTCTTCCGTAGAAGTTGCGTATGTGCTTTCCATTGTTTCACATTGCCGCATTCATCCACTGGCGCAGAGCGAGTGTTTCCAATTCATTACTCACGTGTGTGTGTGTGTGTGTGTGTGTAAAGAAATGCGTTCGTGAAGTCGAACTGCCTCGGATATGGACCTACACAAAATAGTAGCTTTTTTACTTTTATCTGGGCTTTCAACAAAAGGAAATTCTACAGGTGCTAATCCACCAACATGGCATTACCATTTGTTTTAGGACGTTACAAAATATCATATATCATATGTCTTATGACAGGATTGCCTAATACCTTCATATATAATATACAGTTAGCTAAAAATGCATTAATTTAAACAATGTAGTAATTTGATGCAGATACAATGAGCTCATTGATTGTGTGCAACAAATGATTATGCCATTTAGAAAATATAGCATTGAAAAAAATATAGCGTAAGAAAAGCACAATAAAGTATTGTTCAAAAGTCCGGTGGATCGTACCCTGTGTTCACTCTCAGTGTCCAGCGAGCTGGTGGCGTCATCCAGAACCAGAACCTGCGGTCTCTGAATCAGAGCTCTGGCGATGGCGATGCGCTGCTTCTGTCCTCCGGAAACCTGACCGCCCTTCTCTCCAGCATCTGAGGACACCACACAACACCTCTCACTCTCTAAAACAACTTTACATCAGAGATATATATGAAGAGTTTGGTTCCAAAACGCGATAAACGCCATTTTTAAAAAAAATTGAAATTGCAAAAATCAGTATTGTATCTGGTTGGTATTTAAAAGTCAATGTTTAATTTTAAGTAAAATGCGATATCCGCCGTGTTATTCTGTCATGTTTTCTCCCTTTCTTTCCAAACCGCGACAAACGCCAGTCTCCCTTCTCTGCAGAATGCGATATATCCGCTCTCAACCAATCACAACGCACCATTCCACTCTCAACCAATCACAACGCACCATTCCACTCTCAACCAATCACAACGCACCATTCCACTCTCAACCAATCGCAACGCACCATTCCACTCTCAACCAATCACAACGCACCATTCCACTCTCAACCAATCACAACGCACCATTCCACTCTCAACCAATCGCAACGCACCATTCCACGCAATGTAAACAGTAACGGCAGCCAGTGTTGCCAACTTAGCGCCTTTGTCGCTATATTTAGCGACTTTTCAGACCCCTTTAGCGACATTTTTTCAAAAAAGCGACTAGCGACAAATCTAGCGACTTTTTCAGACAAACCTTAGTAACCTCCAAATGTTGTCAGTCGTGCGAGCGCGAGCTCTTGCTTTCTCCCTGCCGTCACTCTCTCTCTCTTTTTGTCATTCACTGTACCATAGCTTGTCTACTTGTTCTATTGTCTGACAAAAAATAATATAGCAAATGAAAACAGCTTTATTAGACATTCGGCTATATTATATGATATGATATTAAAATACAGTATGTGAGCATGAATTTAGAGAGAAAACACATAGGCAGGCAGAACGCAAGAACGACGTGATGACGTCATGAATATGCTAATTGACGTATGACGTCATCTAGCGACATTTAGCGACTTTTAGGGAAGGCGTTAGCTACTTTCCGTTGAAAATAGTTGGCAACACTGACGGCAGCGCCTTAGATACACCCGGCTTCCTAGTTTTTCTTATCTATTTTGAACTTTTCGATCAACAAACAAACAAAAAAATGAATAATTTTGACAGCATTGATGAACCTGTGGTTGTTTCTGCGGTGGGTGAGAAACGTAAGGCATCGAAATCGAGTCATTTACGTGAGGAGATTAAGAAGATGAGGCACTCGGGAGGAGGAAAAATGTTTTCAATCTTCTTTACAGTTCTTAATAAAAATATTATACTAATAAACTTACGTTGTTGTGTATTTTCAACAGTTTCAATATGAAAAAAAAAAACTTTTATATTGATTCAATGGATTAATTGCATTTTGAATTTTAAAAAAAAATGGATTTGTTGCATTTTGGGGAAAAAAATAATCCGTTTTTATGATAAATCTTTGAAAATCAAAACCTGGATTTTAATTTTTTTGTTATTATGACCTACAAATGCTATGTGAAAGTTTGAAACAGAAAATAGTGGTTTTCATCTTTCCACTTTCTTGGTAAAGAAAACACATTTTTACTCAAATTAATCTAAATGGATTTATTGCGTTTTGGAACCAAACTCTTCATATATATATGTGTGTGTAAGGGATAATGTAGAGCGAGGCGGTTGTTATAGCGAATAAACCCCGACATGCTGATCAGGACCCCAACGCAAAGCGCTTATTAATAATCCCGCTTATTACATGGCTATCCACAACAGAACCGGAACACAATACAATGCTGAATAAAGGCCTAGTTTTTGTTATTTTTGGACCAAAATGTATTTTCGATGCTTCAACACACTCCACTGATGTCACATGGACTACTTTGATGATGTCTTTATTTCCTTTCTGGACAAGGACAGTATACCGTACACACATTTACAATGGAGGGACAGAAAGCTCTCGGACTAAATCTAAAATATCTTAAACTGTGTTCTGAAGATGAACGGAGGTCTGACGGGCTTGGACCGACATGAGGGCGAGTCATTAATAACATCATTTTCATTTTTGGCTGAACTAACCCTTTAATACTCTTAATCTCGCCATGAGCTATTACAGTGAACTTCACTAAGTGTCTAAGACTCACCCGTGTCATATCCTTTAGGTAAACTAGAAATGAAGTGATCTGCATTGGCCAGCTTGGCAGCGGCGTGTACGTCTTCATCCGAGGCGTTTTCTTTGCCGTATCTGATGTTTTCCAGCACAGACCGAGCGAACAGAACCGGCTCCTGGGACACCACACTAATCTGAGAGGGTGGAGATTAAACGAGCTCAGCAAACAAAGAAACCCAGGCGCTTTTATTCATATTCACTTAGATCCAGTTATTAGTATACGGCAAATAATAGGATTACCTTCTCATGCAGATATTTGTCCTTGTAGCTCAACAGTGGCTTCTGGTCCAATAAGATCTGCCCATTTTGAGGCTGGTAGAATCTCTCCAGCAAACTCACAATAGTGGTTTTTCCAGAACCTGACGGACCCACTAGAGCCGTGATCTGGCCCGGCTTCAGCTCGAGAGAGACGCTCTAGAAGCACCAGCAACACCGTTTTACATTCAATATACAGGAGTGGCAAAACCAGCCCATCAAAAATTGATGACATCATCCTTTATTCAAATATCATTACAGATTTTGTAAGCATACACTGCAAAACATGCCTTTCTTATTTAGTATTTTTGTCTCGTTTCCAGTCCAAATATCAAAAAATTCTTAAATCAAAATGCATTTACTAGATGAGTAAAATGATAAGATATTAAATCTTGTTTTCCGGGGGAATTAATCAAAATTAAGTGAGTTGATCCTTAAAAAAAGCTAAATTATCTGTCAATGGGGTGAGAAAAATAATCAAATAGAAACAACATTATTTTTCTGACCCCATTGGCAGATAGTTTAGCTTCTTTTAAGCAAAAACTCACTTCATTTTTATTTATTTCCCCAGAAAACAAGACTTAATATCTTATGTCATTTTACTACTTTAGTAAATGCATCTTGATTTATGTTTGATATTTGGACTGGAAACAAGACAAAAATACTAAGTAAAGCATTTTTTGCAGTGTATTGCATTGTTATGTCAAATTTTGTGATGATAACACAATGAATTTTATGGCCAGAAATTATGAACACATGCAAATTTAAGAGAGAACCAAGAAAATATTAATAACTGATTATGTTGTAGTCAATATTTTTGTATTTCTGTGCAGTTTTTTGTAGCTGTAGTTTGACTTTTTTGCTAAATAATTTTGTCAGATAAATACCTTAACCGAGTTTCGTGTTTTGTTCTTCCCTCATATTTAAAATATTTAAAAAATATATAATATTTTCTGAACTTGTAGGATCATTGAAAACAAACATCCCCTCCGAACATCGCTTTTGTATGAAAGCTTGTTTCCGCCACAGAAAAAAAACTATTTAAAAGATAATTGTGACGTTATATCTCACAATTCTGACTTTATATCTCACAATTCTGACTTTATATCTCACAATTCTGACTTTATATCTCATAATTCTGACTTTATATCTCATAATTCTGACTTTATATCTTACAAATATGACTTTATTCTCGCAATTATGACTTTATTCTCGCAATTATGACTTTATATCTCATAATTCTGATTTTTTTTCTCATAATTCTGACTTTATATCTCAAAATTCTGACTTTATATCTCACAAATATGACTTTATTCTCGCAATTATGACTTTATATCTCATAATTCTGATTTTTTTCTCATAATTCTGACTTTATATCTCACAATTCTGACTTTATATCTCACAATTCTGACTTTATATCTCATAATTCTGAATTTTTTCTCATAATTCTGACTTTATATCTCAAAATTCTGACTTTATATCTTACAAATATGACTTTATTCTCGCAATTATGACTTTATTCTCGCAATTATGACTTTATATCTCATAATTCTGATTTTTTTCTCATAATTCTGACTTTATATCTCAAAATTCTGACTTTATATCTCACAAATATGACTTTATTCTCGCAATTATGACTTTATATCTCACAATTCTGGCTTTTTTCTCGCAATTCTGACTTTATATCTCATAATTCTGAATTTTTTCTCACAATTCTGACTTTATATCTCAAAATTCAGACTTTATATCTTACAATTATGACTTTATTCTCGCAATTATGACTTTATTCTCGCAATTATGACTTTATATCTCATAATTCTGAATTTTTTCTCATAATTCTGACTTTATATCTCAAAATTCGGACATTATATCTCACAATTATGACTTTATTCTCGCAATTATGACTTTATATCTCATAATTCTGACTTTTTTTCTCGCAATTCGGACTTTATCTCATAATTCTGACTTTATAGCTCATAATTCTGATTTTTTTCTCATAATTCTGACTTTTTATCTCATAATTCTGACTTTCTAACTCGCAATTGTGAGTTTATATCATGCAATTTTTCTTTAAGCAAAACATAATTCTTTTAATTTTGTGAAATATAATATGAGCTTTTTCAGTGCACACCTTCAGCACATCTGTGTCCGGTCGATTCGGATAAGCAAAGGTGATATTTCTGAAGCACACGTGTCCGTTCAGAGTTGGAGGAGCGAGAGAGCCGTCTGGAGGAACATCAGGCTTTCGGTCCACATACTCGAAGATCTTCTCTGAAGCGCCGACCGCCTTCTTTACATGCGGCCAGTAGGACATCAGCACCTGTGACACAAGCGGCAGGGGTTTCAAGGCACACACTGGACTAGAAGAAAAAAACAGTGGTGGTTTCTCATGCAAAAGTCAATGATAGGCTGTTGTGAGTGGATTCTGGGGCTTTTCGGTCATTTTTGACCGAAAAAGTTTACATTTGTTTTGGGGTTTTTTCTTCATTGGAATGGTACGAAACTTGGTAAACTTGCTGTGTGAACAAAAAAAAAAAAAAATCATGGACATAATTCGAACAGGTTAAATGGTCCTGAAAAAAAATAGTCACTCGTGCTGCTCGCGGTCAGAAATGAGCGCATTGGAAATTAATGGGAGACGAGTTTCCTCTAGTGGAAGCATTCGGTACTGCAGCCGAACAACATCTCACTGAAAGCTCATTTTTATCAACCTCAAATTTGAACACAACTTGTTTCGATATATATGGCTTTGATTTTCTCACAGTTTTAGAGTAAAACATGTTTTTGAAAACATATATTTCATATATATATTTTTTTTTAAATAAACCAAGGCTGTGAAACGATTAATCGCGATTAATCGCATCCAAAATAAAAGTGTGTGTTTACATAATATATGTCTGTGTACGATGTATAATTATTTTAAATAATTTAAATACACACACATGCATGTGTATTTAAGAAATATTTGCATACTGTATATAGACTTAATGTATTATAATGTATATTTTATATAAATATAAACATTTCATATATAAATAACACATTTTTCTTAAATATATACATGTGTGTGCACTGTGCATTTATATATACAAAATAATTATACACAGTACACACACATATATTATGTAAACACACACTTTTATGTTGGATGCGATTAATCGTGATTAATCGTGATTAATCGTTTAACAGCCCTAAAATAAACGTAAGTTCACTTTTTAAAACTTTTTTCACTTCAGCAATAATCTGTGTCATCTTTAAAAAGAGTAATCTGTGCTTCAAAAAGCATTCAAGAACTACGACAGTTTAAATTGGAAATTAAATTTTGAATAGGTCTATGCTCAAAAATGTAATAAATGGATTATAAATACAGCGTAAATATAATTTAGTACCATAAAATCCCCTAAAAATACAAAATATTAAATAAAAAACATTATCGAACTAAAATATCGTACATTCATTTCATTTAAATAAAAAAAATTATTTTGGTCATTTTTGACCAAGAGCGCTTAAAGGGTTAAAGGTGTTTAATAGTGATGCTTGCTTTAGCATGAGGGCTGTGGTCAAACAGACACAGGGTTTGAGAGATTACCTCCACAGCGGATGTGAACTGAAGCTCGTATAGCACAAACGACACCAGATCACCGCTACTGACATCACTTCCTGTCACAAGCCGTCCTCCATAGTACAGTATACTGACTTTCAAAGCCAGACTGGACATCTGAAAAATGCACATTAGATTTCAAACACTGACTTCAGGATGCATTTGAAATCGCTCTAATATTCAAAGCAGTGTTTGTTCCAGAATGCATGTGTGACCCTCGATCACAAAACCAGTCTCGAGTCGCACGGGTATATTAGCCAACAATACATTGTATGGGTCAAAATCATTAGGATATTAAGTAAAGATCATGTTGCATGAAGTTTCCTACCTTAAATATATGAAAAATGTATTTTTGTGAGTGGATGCAGCATAATCGCGAACATAAATGCACAACTTTAAAGGCGATTTTTTCAATGTTTAGATTTTTTTCCAGATGTTCAAATAATTGCATCTCGGCCAAATATTGTCCTATCCTACCAAACCATACATCAATGGAAAGCTTATTTATTCAGCCAAATTGACTGGTTTTGTGGTCACATATGTTCAAAATTAATACTGTGCCCAGAATGCATTGAATATGTTTGGAAAAATGTGCATTATACCAAGAAAACTCACACTGTTGGTCCACGTTGAGGCGGCGTAAGCAGCGGCTTCCACTTTGTTCAGGGCGTACGTGCCTTCCAAACACTTCTTGTACCTCTCGGTTTCTCCGTCCTCGTTAGCAAAGCTCCGGACCGTCTTCATGGAGGAGAACGTTTCCGTCGCAACGTCGTTGGCTTTCGCCAGAGATTCTTGCACTTGTGCAGAAAGTTTCTGAGGGGGAAACAAGAGCACACATCAACACAAATGCACTTAATGAACACAAATGCACTTAATGAACACAAATGCACTTAATAAACACAAATGCACTTAATGAAATTGAGAAAAACACCATATGTGTAATTGGAAACATCTGCATATCTTTCTGAAGAATACCAACATTTGGAAAAAGCTGCTTGATTTTATTTCGGTCTGATCTTAAAGTCATTGTGAAATTTTTGTGCAAGGTTTATTTACATGATAGAAGCAAAATAGGCAAAACCAATGATTTTTCATGAACTGGTCGATTTTGAGATAATGGGCTTTTCTGACTAATGTGAAGAAAAAAACATCCAGAATAATAAATGCATATTTCATTACACTTTATCTATTTGCCTCTGTCTGTAGATTTATATTCTGAAGTTTTTTATAGAGTCAATGAGATACTATTCTAGTTTTTATTAATATATTGAATCCGCTTTTTGTGTAATTTTAGTTAGTTTTTAAGTAATTTTGTTATGCGTTTTTGACATTTTATTACATACATATATATATAAATATGTCTATATAGTTTTATTATTATTTATATATGTATATATATAAATATGTCTATATAGTTTTTATTATTTTTATTATTATTTTAGTACAAGTTACATTAGATTAGAATGCAAAATGTTGCCTTTGCAACCAGCTGAAATAAAAGTTCTTTATTTTTTATTTTATTTCAGTTAAGATTTATTTTATTTCACTTTTTTTTTAATGGTTTTAGTTTCAAATGTAGTCTATGTTAACTATAATTACCCTGGTTCGCGTATCATTTGTCTGATTCATTTAACATTCTGCTGTTGATAGTATTTTCTGATTTATGGAGTGATAAAAATTTGTTATTCAATGTTCAAATTTCCGTTCTGTAAACGCATGCAAATAAGGGCATGTTTAATTAGATTAGATAATGCAACTTTTGCATATATAAACCTAACATTTTTAAATATGTTAAATATGAGGGAAGGACAAAACAATAACTTGGTTAAAAAAAGTAAAACTACAGCTAGAGGTTTTATTTTACTATGCAAAAAGAAAAATGCATAGAAAAACAGGAAAAAGTCAACATTGGCTACGACATAATCAGTTAATAATACTAATGCTGTGAAACGATTAATTGCAATTAATCGCATCCAAAATAAAAGATTGTGTTTACATAATATATGTGTGTGTACAGTGTATAATTATTTTGAATATATAAATACAAACACTTGCATGTGTATTTAAGAAATATTTGCATGTATATACTGTATAAAGAATTTTATATAAATATATAAATAAACATTTTATATATAATATAAATTACACATTTTTCTTAAAAATATACATGTGTGTGCATTTATATATACAAAACAATTATACACAGTACACACACATACTGTATATTATGTAAACACAAACTTTTATTTTGGATGCGATTAATCGCGATTACTATTTCATTGGCTCTCTCGTTTTTGCACGTGTTCAAAATTTCATTGCGTTTTTAATCACAAATAAAACAATTGACTCCAAGCACAACTACCCAATATGCTTACAAAATATTAATAATAATATTAAAGTAAAGGCTGAAGATTCAAATTTAGTCTCACCCTGGACGCCACTTTTGGCCCAGGGTGTCTACAGATATAAACAAGTTAAATTTAAGACTTTTTAACGCCACTTTGAATGAAATCTAAGACCAAACCTGTGATGGAAATACACATTATATGTAATATTTAATGTTTAACCTAAGTCATTGAAGTAATTTAATATTAACTACTTGTTTATTGAACTAAAATCAATGTTACATTTGCAATCGTGAGAATATTCAGCAAAATAGCTCCCGTCATCTTATGTTACTCAACTATATCATATGTGATAAATAAAAAACTCAACATTGTGAATTTTTACCTCAGTATGTTTCTCTGTGATTTATGATGTGTGCGCTTATGCTGGTTTGTTTTGATTTCTCACTATAAAGTCTCTCACAGAGACGGGCGAGTCTCAACAGCGCTTACAGAAACACATTATCATTATCAATCGCCGGTTATGTAATAAAATCAGAATCATTCTCGCGATTCGATGCTTCGCCGGTTATTTGACGGACATTGAGTTCGTCAGACTGGAGACATTTTAGCGGTAATGTGACCAGAAATATTTAAGACCCATCGAATCTGAATTTAAGGCATTTTAAGACTTTTTAAAGCCTTTTATTAGGAAACCCTTAAGACATTTTAAGACGTTTTAAGGACCCTTGGCCACTGATATATGACTCATATATGATCAAATTAATGTTACCTGGTAGAACCGGCCGGAGAATTCTGGGATGATCCAGATGATGGGGAGGCCGAGAGCGGTGAAGACGGACAGTCTGACGGAGAGCAACACCATGGAGCCGAAGAGGAAGATGATGCGCATGAAGTACCACATGAGCAGACTCAGCTTCTCACTCAGAGACTCGCTCATGGTGTTGGTGTCGGTGGTGATGCGGGACACAATGTCACCTGAACAGGGACCGGTGAAAGTCCTTTTTAATTCGTCACATGATATCTCTATTAAAATTTGATAATAAAGGGATAGTTCACCCCAAAATGTAAACTCTGTCAGTAATTACTCTCCCTCATGTTGTTCAACCCCGTAAGACTTTCGTTCATCTTCGGAACACAAATTAAGATATTTTTGATTAAATCTGAGAGCTGGATCATTCCTCCATAGGCTTCTGTGTTATTGAAACTTGCCGGCCCAGAAAAGTTATTAAAGACATCGTTAAAATAGTCCGAGTGACTACAGTGGCTCAACCTTAAGTTTATCAAGCGACGAGAATACTTTTTGTGCGCAAAAACAAACAAAAATAACGACTTTATTCAACTATTCATTTCCTTCTCTGTGGGCCTCGAGTGAGTTCACTAGTGTAACAGCGCAGCGCTTCTGTGTTGTACGTCACACACACACACATGACCAGCGTCGGCCAATAGTGAGCCTTCGTTTGACGTGCAACCCAGAAGCGCTGCGCTGTTACACTACGTGAAATCTAGAGGCCCACAGAGAAGGAAATGAATAGTTGAATAAAGTCGTAATTTTTGTTTGTTTTTTTGCGCACAAAAAGTATTCTCGTCGCTTGATAAACTTAAGGTTGAGCCACTGTAGTCACTCGGACTATTTTAACGATGTCTTTAATAACTTTTCTGGGCCGGCAAGTTTCAATAACATAGAAGCCTATGGAGGAGTGATCCAGCTCTCAGATTTTGGGGTGAACTAACCCTTTAAATGTCTTTTGACTGAATTGGAAAAACTGACACTTCAAATCAATTTTTCAAACAAAAAAGATCTAAACCTTGACAAAAAGTTGTCTTTGAGAATGTCTAAATATATATCCAAATCCACAACCTAATAAAAGTTAGTAATTATGTCTAAAGCCTCTTTATATACAGCTATTGCACAATCGATCGGACCAACCAACACAAGTTTCGAAAACGAGAATAGGGAATCGATTTTAACGGCCTTTTTTTTTTACCAAAAATGTGTGTTAGGTGGACAGATCAACACAGGACACAGAACATGTCGGATGCTGGAAAATAACACTGTCTTTTCTGTTCACCAAATGCTTTTTAATATTCGCTATTACTTCAGTGCAAGTGAACAAGCGCGCCGTTATTTGTTGTGTAGTGACGTGTGTGTGTGTGTGTGTGTTCAAGTGAGCCAGAAATGAGCAGATTCTGCAATACGCTGTATTTAATATATCATGAGGATCACGAGTTGCGTATTTGCGCAGATTTGTCTAACACGAACTTCCCCAGCAAAGTGAGTAAACACAGAAACACGCCTGATTGGCTCGTGATTTGACAGCGTTTCCCGCCAAAGTTCATTTGTATCCGCATCTGGCGAGTCGAGGGAGTTAATCTCAATCCCTGAATGTTGCGCTCCTGTTTGTCATTGTGCTGAAACTTCACGCCAATAAATCATCAGGAATATTGCTGACTTGTGCGTCTCAAGCGCCTCTTTACGCTCGTCTTAATGCCTGTGTTAGGTGTCCGTGGATTTGCCTGTATTTGCTGTTGAAAATGGAAACGTCTTTAGACATGGAAAATCGATTTTTAATTATGTTTACACTTATGTCTCAAATCGAACAGGATTTTTTCACGAAAGTGAAAGCGCTAGTTACACTATGGCATTACAGATATTTTTCTTTTTTACTCCCACCTGATGACACTAATCTGCCTTTTAAAAAAAAAAGGATTTTATAGGCATTGTCTCTATTTTAACAGCTTTAATTGAAAAATACTAAAGTAAAAGTGACAGCATGAGTTAAAATGATCAAGAGGGAATCAGCAGCAACACTCGTACATATGATACAGTTAAAAAATAGCACTTTGTTTGCAGGTTTACCTGTGGAAGCTTTATCGAAGAACGCAATATCTTGTTTCAGCACCGACTGGAAGACGAGTGCTTGGATGGACGTGTGTATTCGGCTCATGGTGATGTTGTAGATGAGGTCACACACAAACTCACACACGGCGCTGCAGAAAACAGGAGGAAATCCTGAGATGTGCTTTTATCTTTAATGCATTTCAGGTGTTGTTTATTCACCTTATTTCACATTTATCACACATTATTTCAAGCCTACTTCAAAAGTTTGGGGTCGGTGACATTTTTTAAATGCTTCTGCTCCCCGAGGCTGCATTTATTTGATCAAAAATAAAGTACAAATATTTGTACAATATAAAACCGCTGTTTTCTATGTGATTATACAGTAAAGTGTAATTTATTTCTGTGATCAAAGCTGTATTTTCAGCATCATTACTCCAGTCTTCAGTGTCACATGATCCTTCAGAAATCACTCTAATATGATGATCTGATGCTCAAGAAAAAACTATGATTATTCTTAATATTTGGAATTTATGACATATTTATATATATATATATAAAAATATGTCATAAATATGTCATAAATTCCAAATAATTTATATATATATATATATATATATATATATATATATATATATATATATATATATATATATATATATAAAAATTATTTGGAATTTATGACATATTTATGACCAAATGCTTTTTTAATGCATTTGTTCTATATATGCATAATTATATATATATAATTTATATAAAATATAATATATATATATATATATATATATATATATATAAAATGCATAATTATATATATATAATATGTCATAATTATATATATACAATATGTCATAAATATGTCATAAATTCCAAATAAATTTTTATATATATATATATATATATATATATATATATATATATATATATATATATATATATATATATATATATAAAATTATTTGGAATTCATGACATATTTATGACCAAATGCTTTTTTAATGCATTTGGTCTATATATGCATAATCATATATATATATATATATATAATTTATATAAAATATTATATATCTATATAAAATATATAAAATACATAATTATATATATATATATAATATGTCATAAATATGTCATAAATTCCAAATATGAAGAATAATATATAAAAAAATTCAAAAAAACAACAAAATTACTCAAAAACTAACTGAAATTACAAAAAAAGCTGATTCAATATATGAATAAAAACTATAATAGTATCTCATTGACTCGTTTATTTTGTAACATTATAAATGTCTTCACTTTTGATCAGTTTAATGTGTCCTCGCTGAGTTAAAGTCTCACTAAACCCAAACTTTTGAACAGTAGTGTACAGGACTGTTCTTGTGGCCTCACCTCATGACGGTCATCAGGGTCATGACAGTGATCGCGTGGTTAAAGGCCTCGGGCTCATCTTCATTCATGATCCAGTCCGTCATTTTACCGGTGTAGTGAGGAATCGCCATTTCACCTGTGCCACAATATGCATGTAAATATGCATGTTCATCTTCTAATTTGCTTACAGACAAAAAGAAACACGCTTTATCATCATTGACCCAATTTATTCTGCAATCTCTACATCTAGAAGAATCAATAAGTTGCTGAGAAGTCTGTGTGTTTGCAAACTTGTCATGAATTTGTGTGCTGAACAATTATGAGAGCAAATTTGACCAAAGTGAAAGTAAAAGTGATATGCGATCAACTTTCTTTCATTTGACAGACTATATAAGTTTTAAATTACACTGTAGGCTAGATTTCAAGGTAATTATTTACAGATCATAAAGCCATAACAGGAAATGGAGCCAGATACATCAATAACGCAATATTTACTCAAATTGTAATAAGTTCAATAAAATATTTAAATAAATAAATAAATAAAATGGCATTATGTATTGTCTAGGCAATGGGTCTAAAAATAGGAAGAAAAAAAAGAAATAATAATAATAATAAATAGAAAAAATTATTAAAATAAAAATAATAAAAAATGTAATGATTTAAATAATAATACATCTAACAATACAGTAATATAGTAAAGCAACTAAATATTTTACAAATAATATTTTAATGTTATACTGTATCAATTGCACAAGGATGATCATATTTAGGGATTATTTTTATTTGTGATAATAACTTTTTTTAACAGAAATTATGAACTCATGCAAAAACAAGAGAGAACCAATGAAATATTATGAAATATGAATACAATTAAATATGTCAGTTTTTTGTTTTTCTATGCATTTTTTTAACATGGCAAAATAAAACCTATAGCTGTAGTTTGCCCAATAATTTTTCCTCATATTTTGATGGTTTAATTGAACTTATAGTGTCATTAAAAACCATTATCACTTCTGCCCTCTACTGTATGTATGACATTTTTACCTAAAGAAGATATAACCACAAAGAAGAAGACGACTGCAAAGCGTCCACTGAAGGGCTTCATGTATCCCAGCAGCCTTTGCAGCGACGCCTTGCCCTTCTGCTGTGTTTTCTGCTTTCTGGCTGTTGGAAGGAGAGTGAGGACATGGCGCTTCCACAGCAACAGAGACAACGCCAACACCAAATACCCCTGCAGAAGCTGAAAGATAATCGGGTTTAAAACACACACACACACACACACACACCTGACATTTCAAATACTCTTCTAAGTGTATGTTCGCCATTTAACCCTCTGGTGTTGCTCGATCGTTTTAGACTGAATTTGTTTGTTTTTTTAATCGCTGGTTCATCAGAATGGTACGAAACTCTGTGAATTGATTAGAAAAATCACTAAAGATACTGTATATAAACTGGTGTGACTGAAACACAAAGAAAGTTTTTGCAAATGCGTGAAATAAAATCAATAATTAGGCACGGGCAGCAAGGAAGGGGTTAAACTCTAAAACAGACACACACACTCAAACACACACTCAAAGACACACACACACACACTCAAGCACACACTCAAACACACATATGCACACACACACAAGCACACACACAAGCACACACTCAAACACACACTCAAACACACACATGCACACGCACACACACAAGCACACACTCAAGCACACACTCAAACACACACATGCACACGCACACACTCAAGCACACACTCAAAGACACACACACACACACAAACACACTCAAGCACACACTCAAACACACATATGCACACACACACACAAGCACACACACAAGCACACACACAAGCACACACACAAGCACACACTCAAACACACACTCAAACACACACTCAAACACACACTCAAACACACACTCAAACACACACTCAAACACACACATGCACACGCACACACTCAAGCACACACTCAAAGACACACACACACACACACTCAAGCACACACTCAAGCACACACTCAAGCACACACTCAAGCACACACTCAAGCACACACTCAAGCACACACTCAAGCACACACTCAAGCACACACTCAAGCACACACTCAAGCACACACTCAAACACACACTCAAACACGCACACACTCAAACACACATGCACACACACACAAGCACACACACAAGCACACACACAAGCACACACACAAGCACACTCAAGCACACACTCAAACACACACATGCACACGCACACACACAAGCACACACTCAAACACACATGCACACACACACAAGCACACACACAAGCACACACACAAGCACACACACAAGCACACTCAAGCACACTCAAGCACACACTCAAACACACACTCAAACACACACTCAAACACACACATGCACACGCACACACACAAGCACACACACAAGCACACACATGCACACGCACACACTCAAGCACACACTCAAGCACACACTCAAGCACACACTCAAACACACACTCAAACACGCACACACTCAAACACACATGCACACACACACACACACACACACACTCAAGCACACACACACACACACTCAAGCACACACTCAAGCACACACTCAAACACACACTCAAACACACACTCAAACACACACTCAAACACACACACACAAACACACACGCACTCAAACACACACACACTCAACCACACACTCAAAGACACACACAAACACAGGGTCCAGACACACACACACACACACTATTAGACACACACACAATTGAACTGGTGTGGCTGTAACAAAATGGCAAAATTGAGCTAGACTACTCAAATAATAAGATTATTTTATTAATAAGAGTCTGAAATCAGATCGGACCCAGATTGATTAAGCTCTGATAAAGAATTAATTTTCAATTCGCTACATCTCTATTGAATTTTGATGTTCAATGTCTTTTGACTGTAGTAAAATAAAAGGAAAAATTGACACTTCAAATCAATATTTCAAACAAAAAAGATCTAAACCTTGACAAAAAGTTGTTTTTGAAAATGTCTAAATATATATCCACAATCTAATAAAGGTAAGTAATTATGTCTAAAGCCTCTTTATATGCAGCTATATAGTAATCTAGTGGTTACACCAAGGGAAGTCACTTTTTACCACGAACAACACAAAGTCGTGTGACTCCCATTCCCAAAATGAACAACACCAGATGGGTTAAATGTATTACGGCACATCTTACCCCTTGCCAGGTGTGCCAACCCCACAGCAGCTCCACAGTAGACCTGCCACACGCCCAGAGAAACGAGATGTACACCGGATAGAGGAGGCCGTGGACCACAGCCGTCTGAACGCCCTCGCATCCTCTCATCCACGCCGGGCTGCCGGAGTAGGAGACGGACACGAAGAGGAGGAGAGTGGTTCGGGCCAGTCCGCCGGCCCACAGCGTGATGAACGCGTTACTGGTGAAGGACGGGGACAGCTGGATGGCACCAATGAACATCACTGTGAACACGTCCACACACAACGCCAACAGGGCGAACAGAGGAACGGCCATCTTATCCTTCATCCCCAGCACTGCCAAACAAAGATTAGGATCAGCAATGACAAACAAACAGAGATCTATGTACATGTAGCTATCATGTTACAACCCTGCTGAAAACAAACAAACAGATAAAACTGGTTTTAGCTGGTCTCCAGGCTGGTTTTCGAGGGGGTTTTTGGGGCACTTTATTTTTTTTAGCTGGTCAAATAGACCAAGTAAAACCAGCTGAACACCAGCTTGGCCAGTCTAGAAGCCTAGGCTGGTTTTAGCTGTTTATTTCCCCAAGGACATACAAAGTAAAACAATGGTATATGCTGTTCAATGTGGGTAAATCAGTTTCACTTTCACTCTAAAAATTAATTTTCATTTAATAAGCTCAATGAGATTTGCTTACTTATCAGCGCGTTCAATCTACACAATTTGCTTGCAAGTCAAAGTTAGTAGATAATTACTTAAACATTGTGTATGTTTACAGATTTCCCTGAAGTGCATTCAGACAACAATATGTGCTTGGAAAGAGATAAAGAAACACTAGGCTAAGTTACGTACCTTGTGAATACCTACTGAAACTCTCAAGATATTTCAAGAATCGATGTGTTTTTAGTGTCGCCGTCACATTTACTTAATATATTATCGTTTAAAATAAGTAACTATACAAGAGAGATGAGAATACTGTGCGTGAAACACCATACAAGGTCCGAATCTGAAACCGAAAGTGAACTAGTGCACTGCAAGGAGGAAAACCCCATCTGGGCTAAAATGATGAATATTAATTACGCACCGTGACGTCGCCAAATAGTGCGACCTCATTGGGTCGGAGTCAGACGTTGGTGGGCATCAGCTGGCCAATCACTGAGGGCTTGTCTTATAATATGCATAATGTTGCGTGTCTCTTAAAGTGACACACACAGGACGCACTCGCTGTTTTAAGCGCTAAATTGGCGTCGTTTCGATGTTTTGAGTGTCGAGCGTCATGAGCGTCGCGTTTTAAGACGCAGTGTTAAAGCGCGTCTCGAAACCCCTGCATTCTCTTCCTGAACGTGATCGCGTCTAATGTTACGTCACATACCCTAATTAATATACATGAGTATTTAGTGTTATCCGCTTCTCTGCTTATAAATGGAGAATCGTGCAGATAAATGCCACAGTTTACATTGGCTGCTATTTTTTTAACATAATCCAAAAAAAGAAAAGATAACATAATTTGGTTTAATAATATCTATTATTAAACTCCAGTAAAAACATTAATGATGTGAAATATTTTTATTATTTAATATAGCTGTTTTCTATTGTAATATATTTTCTGTGATCAAAGCTGTATTTTCAGCATCATTACTCCAGTCTTCAGTGTCACATGATCCTTCCGAAATCACTCTAATATGATGATTTGATGCGCAAGAAACATTTATGATTATTAAATCAATGTTGAAAACAGCAGTTTCAGATTTTTTAGGTGGAAATCATAATTCTTTGATGAATAGAAAGCATTTATTTGAAATCACTTTTGATCAATTTAATGCATAATTTCAGGGACATGCAGAGAGTTCCTTAGGGGCAGGGGCTCACATGTGTATATATATATATATATATTTGGTCAAAAGTTTGGAAACATTAATATTTTTAATGTTTCTGAAAAAAAGTCTCTTATGCTCATCGAGGGTGCATTTATTTGATCTAAAATATAGAAAAAAACAGTAATATTGAAATATTACTACAATATAAAATAGTGGATTTCTTTTTTAATATACTTATAACCTTTGATACTATTTTTCAGGATTCTGAGTAAAAAAAGAAAAGAAAGAACAGCATTTATTTAAAATAGAAATATGTTGTACCAATATACAATCGTTCAAAAGTTTGGGGTCAGTAACTTTCTTTCTTTCTTTTTTTGTTGTTGAAAGAAATTAAAGGATTAGTTCACTTTTAAAAAAACTTTTGCTGATAATTTACTCACCCCCATGTCATCCAAGACGTCCATGTCTTTCTTTCTTCAGTCGAAAAGAAATTAAGGTTTTTGATGAAAACATTCCAGGATTTTTCTCCATATAATGGACTTTGCTGGGCACCAAACGGTTCAAGGTCCAAAAGACAGTTTCAGTGCAAACTGCAAACTGTTCAAAGTGCTTTAAACGATTCCAGACGATGAATAAGGGTCTTATCAAGCGAAACGATCGGTCATTTAAAAAAGAAATAACAAAGTTTAAGTTTTATAAGCTCAAATGCTCGCCTTGCTCTGTTCTGTGTGACTCTCCTGTTCGAACTCGTTCATCAAAATGAACGAATCTTTTTCCGAGTCAATTCGTTCATTTCGTTCGTTAAATGAACCAAATGACTCGAAAAAAGATTTGTTCATTTTGATGAACGAGTTCGAACAGGAGAGTCACACAGAACAGAGCAAGGCGGGCATTTGAGCTTATAAAACTTAAACTTTGTTATTTCTTTTTTAAATGACCGATCGTTTCGCTTGATAAGACCATTATTCATCGTCTGGAATCGTTTAAAGCACTTTGAACCGTTTGGTGGCCAGCAAAGTGCATTATATGGAGAAAAATCCTGGAATGTTTTCATCAAAAACCTTAATTTCTTTTCGACTGAAGAAAGAAAGACATGGACATCTTGGATGACATGGGGGTGAGTAAATTATCAGCAAAAGTTTTTTTAAAAGTGAACTAATCCTTTAATAATTTTATTATAAGAGACTTCTTTTGTCAGCCTACACTTCACATAATAGGCCTGAAGGTGGCGCTCGTTTAGCGCTAAATACAAGTGAGTTTAATACTTACCATTAATGCGACTTTTGATGCTTGTTTTGTGCAGTGCGTTGTAGTCACTTAACATCCATTGTTTCAACAACGAAGATTCAGATTGGATCATAAAGTAAATTCTGTCCATAAATTTTCAAACGAAATAAATTATCGCTCCACTTCACATTGTCCAATGAAATTTGAACTTGTTGAGCCCAGATGACGATTGGTCGGTGCACATGACAAGGCATCAAATAATTGTGCAATATCAGAGAATGTAGACGGGCTTTGGTAATATTCTAAAATATGGGATATGTGGATTTTTAATTGAATCGACTTGTTGTTGGGAAAAAAAGTAAAAAAAAATGTTTGGTTTATTTCTTCCTGCCTTCGAGCCTTAGCCTACTCAATGAAAGAGCCATATTTGACTCGAGAGCATCGGTTCCTACGTTTATGTATTTAGGAATACCAGTGCATTTTCGTTTTAAAACGCATAACTTTTGCTACGACATGCGGAAGTGAAGCAACGCGTTGGCAACGACGTCTCAGGCTATAGGTAAAATAAACGTGAATTTAGGCTACTTTAGTTTTGTTTTGTACACATTGTCATGTTAATTATGTGATATAATTAACATGACACACGCACCCGTCTCTGCACGTGCCTGATCCTTTCTAAATAATTTTATTAAAAATAATCTTTCTGACGCCAAACTTCTGAATATAAGTGTATTTCTCCA